GCGCACATGCACATGGCACCTCTGGCCTCTTTCAGGCTGGAACTCTGTCAGCCTGCAAGGGGAAAACCCACCTTTTCCTGCATTTTTCTCTTTTAATAGGAAAAACTCTGGGTTTTACAGTGTTTTTCCATGGCAAACAGGAAACCTGGATCCCTGGCTATACAAAAAAAACACACCATATTTACTTGATTGTAAGATTCATTCCCCTCCCTCCCCTCCCCCCGCACATTTAACATGGTGGGGAGCCTTTCATCTTAGAATTGAGTACAAGGCTGGGGAGGCAGCAGGTTCTGTGGCTCAGGCTCCATCCCCTACCTGAGCTCCCGCCATAGTCGTACCTGGTGCCTGCTCACCCCTATCTCTGCACTTCCCTCCCTCCCCCCATTTCCGCCTCCCCACAGCTTCTGCTCTCCTATTGCCCCACTCCCTCCCCCACTTGCATATGCTCCATGCTGGCAGGCTCCTTGTATGATACAGCCTGGGGCACTAAGCATGGCCCCTGCCCAACCCAGTAGCAGTAGCACGCAGCTGCACAACTGCTATGGGGGCTGGGCTGGGCTGGGCTGAGCTGGCATTGGTATCAGTGCCCCAAGCTAGAATGGGTATGGAGAAAAAGTAAGGGTGAGGAGGAAACAGGGAGGTGGGGGTGACAGGATGGGTCTGAGGCTGCAGGGGGCAGGCACAATCAGGGGGCAAGTTGCACTACTTCCCCACACTAGGTCCCTCCCCACTGCCTCCCTCCAGTTGTGGGGGGATGAATTAAAGAAAACCTTCCAATAATTAAATTCTCTATATTGAAAATTATAACAAATATATACATTTCCCATGTATAGAAACTCATTACTGGGGGGTTGTCTTGAATTCAGAGTCACCTTAGATTCACATATAAGTGCATTATTTACACATTTTTCTGCAGTATCTAGTATAAATCATAGCCCTATTTTCCAACTGTTCACTCAGGAAACTTTTCGCAAGTGTTCATGTTCCCTTATTTTAGAATAAACTGTAGATGCATGATGTGGCTTCTGATTTATGCTAGTTGAAGTATCTGTTTTGCTAACATTAACAAAGGGCCTATATGGAGTTTCTTTACAATTTAATATTTATTAGCCATTCTATATGAGAATATTAAAAAGCCAAAATTTAGCAGAGCAAACCAAAAGATATTGGAAAGGTAAACAATAGAAAAGGTGGCATATTCAGCATAATACAGTATAAAATAAACATAATCAAAGCAGACATTTTATTCTCCCTATTTAATTATGCTACACAAAAATTAAGACCTTTTATAAACTTGGTTTTTAAAGGAGTGGGGAAAACTGATCTAATCTTTAAAGTGCTATTTTAAACCTTTCCAAACACCGTCTTTCGGAGCTCTGACTTGGAATTTGAATCCTTTGAGGCAAGCTACCTTGTGGGCGTATTGATTCAAATTCCACCTGCCAGTGTACAAACAAGTAAAGTAGTTAAGCTACTCCCTCTGCCCTGAATTTTTTTTCTCAGGGAAGATATTAACAAAAAATCTTGTACTTAGTAGGACAGAGCGTTATCTGAGTAACTGAATTAAAGCAGCTCTTCCTGTTTAACTCAAGAGACCAAAAATAAAGTCAGATAATGCCATGAAAAACTTTCTGATTGATTTGCCTCACTCAAGATTAAAAGTTGCTGCCAGGTTCTGATTGCCACCTTGCCCGCTGCAGCATATATGCTCTGAAACTGAAAGTATACGGGCTTGCTTTGGTAATTACCTGCCTCCTGGTTTTTTTCTGTTGCTGAAAAACTCAAGTTGTTCTTACAGCTTAAATGTCCGAAGGATTTTTTTTTTAATTTTTTTTTTTAATTCTTGGAAAAATTACAGACTTCAGCTGGTTTCTGTAGGTGATATACCTGATGCTTACGTGGAACTTTCTTGAAATTTTTATTACTCAAGTGAATGTGTACCTTTTTTGGTGGGGAGCAATCTTAAGTCGGAGATGGTCAGTAGCAATACTGTACCATTTTTTTCAGAATGTTAAAAATAGGCTTTATTATACATTTTGTAATTAAATTAGCCAGTGCAAAATGTCTATCTGATGGTTGAGAGAAGAGCACCAGCAGCATTTTCTGGAATGGATTCTTACCGTACATACTGGGAATCTAATTTATTTAGTGGTATGTGGCCAGAAGACCAAGAAGAAGATATCTGTGAAGTTGAATCTCGTGTGCCTTTACCAAATCCTTTTCCCTTCACTGAGCACTTGGATGAGAATAACTCTATAGTTGTAAATACTTCAATTTTTCACATGGTCCACAAAAAAAATGGACACACATTAAGAGTTATCTCTAAAATCTCTTTGCCTACCCCTCCATATTCAGTAAGTATGATAGCTTTTAAGGAAGTTCAGCCTTTAAGCTATACAATGAAAAGAAAATGCAGTGGGAAAGAATTTGAACATCTGTCTTGTGAATATAGGATTGATTATTTTGCATCATCCACTACTATCCATTTTTTCATAAAATGGTTTAATAGGCAGTGGCAGGGTTTAATTATGAAAATTATTAGAATTAAAAATTGTAACTGAAAAATTGAGAAATTCTTTTAGAAATGGGTATAGAAGCAGAGCATGTTACAGTTACAGACTTCTGTTCATATATTTTAGTACCAGGCCCATAAGAAATAGAATTAGCATAAGATTTGGGGCTTTAGGTATGTAGTGGAATCAAGCCATTCTTGTAACTTTACAGAACTGAACTGTTATATAATTTAAATTAAATAGGACTAGTAATGTTTTTGGGGAAAGTAGGGTTGATTGGTTGGTTTGTTTTTTTATATCTCGATTCTTGTGGTTTTGTGAAAGGGGCGCTTCCAATTTTAAAATTACATTCTTACTATTATTTTGAATAATAACTCCATTGTACTTGTAACTGAAAAGTATCAGGAAAAACATCTTTTCTTTTTCAGTTTTTGTGTGTGCATTTAACTTATCTGTGTAAATTATTTTTACTGTTTACCTCATATAGCAAGCTTGTTGTTACATTTTCCTTTTTATTTGCATGGGACTTCATACAACAGTATAGGGCATAAAATACATATTAAAAAATGAAATGTGATTGTAATGCCACACAAATAATAGGTGGGAAGGTTTGGAACCACCTATAGTCCTTTATCTTCTTTTCACTTTTTTGTTTTAAATTAGGTATCAAGTTAATGGTGGACCTTTAAGCGTAAATGTAATCTATAGAAGACTTATTCACTATTTGGCCTTTTAAAGGATGGTTTAAATTTGCTTAATTTGAAAAGTGAAACATTAGAGATTAGATAACAAATCCGATACCGATAAATAGGTATCCTAGTGTATAATGTTCTGTGAAATGATTCTAAACCATTTTGCAACAATTGTAAGAACATTAGTTTGATCTAGTTTGTTTGTTTTTGTCTTTTTGCCAGACAGGCTATTTTAAGGAATTTGATACCCTTAATTGTACTAATGAGTCTAGCTGGAGTCAGTGAAAAATTAACAGCTTTTTTTTTGTTTTTTGAAGGATTTGGAGAGAGAGTTAATTTCACAGAACATATTAGCAAAACACACAGAAGTGACCATAATACAGGCATCTGCCAAGACCCAGAATATAAAAGCAAGGGTGTAAGTTCATTTGTTTTCTGAAGTTGAGCAAACATCTCTCATGTCCTTTTGTAACTTAAATACCACACAACCCTAGAAATAAGAAGCTTCTGTAGCTGGTCCAGCTCCAACAAATTCAGGAATATGAAATTTTCCTTTCGCACTTGTTTATTTCAGTAAGGGACATAAGTAGAGCAAAGATCTTGACGGTCAAGGAGCAAAGGAGTGGAAGGAACTTCCTGGATCATTGAGCTGGTAACTGAGTCTAGTTCCCCGTAGACAATTGCATAATTCCATATAATTAAGCTTTGGATTACTTCTGTGTGTAAATGAAAAGATTTGAATCTGCTTTTTTTTAAAAGATCACTTCATGGCCTTTCGTTTGAGTGCCACCAGACAAATGGAGTCCTACATCTCTGCATGTTCTGAGCTTCTATACTGCTACAGATGTGAGACTTGGGACAGCTTTTTAGATGCATTGCAATTGTGGTGATGGAATTATCATGACTTTCCTTTTCTTTTTAATGATGGAGTTTATGCCCTTGTTTTTTGTGGTAAAATGGTTTGAAAATGTAGATAAATCATAAATAAAGGCAGGGAATGGAAAAAGAGTAGTTCATCAGCATGACCTGTATTTGTTTTTAGTCACCACAGAGACTTTTAAACCCTAAGATTGTTATTGCATGTAATTCAAGTTCAAAATGAAACTGACATCTGAGTGGATACTGTGTCTGAGTTGTACTGTCAATCTGCAAGGACCTAAGTAGAGGTGGAGAGCAAAGCCAGATCTGCAATAGTTTTACACGCTGTGCCTGTGGATAAGAACACTCTTTACTAGGCCAGTTATCAAGCAACTCAAAACAAATGTTGCTTTACTTTTGTGAATTGGAAAATTTAACATATTCTAAATTTGCATATGTCTACCCTCTTATTTACTTGTATTCTTATGAAGAAGAAAGTTGAAAGTTTCTTGTGTAAAAGATTGTTTTAAAATCCTTTCATCTTTGTATGATGTCTAATATAAGTATTGAGGAAGTGGATCGTGCCAGTATATTTCTAGACATAGTTAATGCAAAACATTTAAATAAAGGCGAGTCTAATGTAAACTGACATTGAACCAGGAAGTTTCTAGTTCCGGTACAAAGACATGGATTTAGTCATATGTTTTATAGTGTATACTGTACTATCTTTATTTGCTTTGCTGTTTGTTGAATTGGTCTTTCTGTTGTAGTATTTGAGTAGCTGCTCACAAAAATCTGATCAAAATGTCTACTGAAATTAATGCATAACTTTTGATCAGGCCCTAAAACAGCTAATAATTGTGCATACAAAACTTAGAATTGGGTATCTTTTATTATTCTTTGGAAGATCTAATCTTCATAATTTTTCCTGCTGTAGCTTGAACATGCTAAAATTACACAGACAGAACTCATGCAAGAGTCCTTCAAAAGGCAGCAGGAGGCTACTGAATTTCTCAAATGTCAAGAGGAACTGCAAGAGCGACTCAGTGAAGAGACCAAAGCCAGAGAGCAGTTGGCATTGGAGCTAAGTAAAGCTGAGGGTGAGTATCTCCCATGGATATTTGCTCAACTAAAATGGCTAAACAATTGACAAATTAGAGCAGCATCTTGTTTAAGAAATTTAGATTGTTTTCCAGTTTCTAGATAGTTATGGAAGGATTATCCTTTTTTCAGCAGTGAAGGAAGGAGGTACTAAAGAAAGAAAGAGTAGCAATGGAAAGTAAATAGTTTGGAAATAGAATGAAAGAATGAAACAACCATAGTGTGATACATAAAGGAAGACAGAGAAAGGAAGGAAGAAAAAGTATGTAAAGTAACTGCATATATTTTCAAGATGACTAGGTAGAAAATATTAACCCCTTAGTTTGGAGGGGGCTTTAGGGTTCTCTCGTCTTCACCCAATTTCCTCTTTATCCTTCCTGAATTTTTTTTTCTTTTTTGTTTGTCAGGATGCAGCATACTTTCTCATCTGCATTTTAACTCTTACTGACACAGAAAAACCTCTTAAACTAGACTGATTCAAACATGGTTCAGTGCTTTAAAATAACGTAGAATAGGTGATTATAATGATTTCTACTCATTAGAATATTTTAATCAAAGACCTATTTAATGTAATAGGAAACGTAAAAACTGAGCCACACAAAAAATATGCAATGTATAGCTCCCCTAATTAGACTGTACTGCAGTATTGGAAACATAAGTTTATAATTATTATAAAAATGTCTTTGTAGCTCCTTGAAGCTTGGTTTTGTTTGAAATTTGGTACATTGCTCGTTATTTTATAAAAGGGCTGCTTGGAACAGTGAGCTCCATGAGTTGTGGAGGGAAGTATCTTTTTTTTTTCTCCCACTCTGAGCCAGTTTGATGCAATCTCTGAGGTGATATCCTGAAGTGATGCATTCTGGAGATATCAGTACCGAATTTGGAACTGACTAGCAGCTCCTATAAGATCCAGTAAAGAAATGTATTAACCTCAATTATCCTTAGTAAAGTGTATATTTTCAAACTGGTATATTGGAAAAATATCACTAACTTAAAAATATTACTTTGAGGCTGATCCTAAAGATTAGAAGGGCAGTCTTTAGGATTGCTGCGAGGGCAGTACAGCAACATACAAAGAATCCAAGAAGTTTTCGGAGAATGTGCGGACAACTTCCTGGTGCAAATGTTAGAGGGGCCAACTAGGGGCCATGCTGTTTTTGACCTGCTGCTCACAAACAAGGAAGAATTGGTGGAGTATGTAGTACTGGATAGTAACTTGGGCAGCAGCAACCATGAGATGACCATGTTCAGGATCCTGAGGAAAGAAAGGAAGGAAAGCAGCAGAGTAAGAACCCTGGACTTCAGAAAAGCAGATATTGACTGACTCGGGGAACTGATGGGCAGGATCCCCTGGGAGGCCCATCTGAGTGGGAAAGGAGTCCGAGAGAGCTGTTTTTTGTTGTTTTTTTAAAGAAACTTTACTGCTGCTGCTTTCATATGGCTAGAGCAAGCAATGGCAGAGAAGATGAAAATTAATTAAAAGTTGTATGTTGAGGTTTGATAACCCGTTGATGACCTCTGGATTGGCTAAGTGGATTGCTTCAATCCCTTCATGATATTCAAGTTCAGGTCAGGAGTTTGCAATGTGGCTCATTAACTGCACCTTACCCCGCCAGCACTATATCTAGACTCCTGGCAGTCCCAGGTGAACTTTTATTATCCCCCCTTCACCAGCCATAATGATGATGATAATTTTTAAATTACCATTTTCAGGCCCCCTTTCTGTCCGGGTCCTGGGGGGCTGCCTTGTTCACCCATGCCTGTGTCTGGCCCTGCTCACCACATATGCAGTTCAACAAGTCCTTGATGACCCATTTGTTCAGTAAATAGGCACACCTTCCATGTCCTGTACAAATGCGATTCAGCATGGTCCAGTATTTAAGTTGCAGGCAGAAACCCACAAGCTTGCTGGTCGGATCTACAACCAAATTTTTCTCGAACACTGTTGCTGCAGACCAGATTTTGTGCCAGCGGCTCTCCGTATCCAGACTGTTCAATGAAAGTGCAAAGAAACCTTACTGAGGGTGCAAAACAAGCAATCCCAATGTGCAGGAAAACTAGCAGGTATGGCAGAAGACCAGTTTGGCTTAGTAGGGAACTCTTCAGTGAGCTAAAACACAGAAAACAAGTTTATAAGAAGTGGATACTTGGACAAACAATTAGGGAGGAGTATAAGAATATTGCTCAGGCTTGCCGGGATGAAATCAGGAAGGCCAAAGCACAATTGGAATTGCAGCTAGTAAGGGACATGAAGGGTAACAGAAGGGTTTCTACAAGTATGTCAGCAACAAGAGGAAGGTCAGGGAAAGTGTGGGGTCCCTTACTGAGTGGGGGAGGCAACCTAGAGACAGATAATGTAGAAAAGGCTGAAGTACTAAATGCTTTTTTAACCTCAGTCTTCAGAGGCAAGGTCAACCGCCAGACTGTTGCATCTGGCAGCACAGTTTGGAGAGGAGGTGAGCAGCCAACAGTGGTGAAAGAACAGGTTAGGGCAGTGGTTCTCAACCTGTTTGCCACAGTGGACTATGCATGCAGCTCTCAGTGTGTTATATGGGCCACACCCCACAGCTGATGGAGCCCCCAGCTGCCAGGGCTACGGGACCAGAACCAGGGCCTGCAGCACCTGGGCTCTGGCTGGCACCTGGAGACAGCAGTTGCTGTGGCCAGAGCAGAGCATGGAGCCCAGCTTCTCCTGCTCCTCCCTCCCCTCCCCTGTCTCTCCCCACCCCGGCAGCATAGCTGGAGCAGAGCCTGTTGAGGGAAGAGGGGGTTCAATGTGGGCTTCCCGCTACGGGCTTGGGGCTTCCTGCCCTGCTGCCCTTCCTGTGGGGCCTCCACAGCCCAGCAAGCAGAACTTGGCACTGGTGGGTGGGGAGGCTCTGTGCCACTGCTTGGGAGCCCCATGCTGGCTGCATCACCATGGCAAGGCGTTCCCTGCCTGCCCAGCGCCAGCAGTGGTATGGAGTTCTACCCCTTGCTGTTACCATGTGGGCAGGGGATGCCGTACTTCCTCCCTCATTAAGGGGGCCTCAATCTGTCCCCACTCTTCTCCCTACATAGACTTACTTTGTGGGAACTGTTCTCCATGCATATGGCACCTACTGTGTCTGATTGCCCTCCTCCCACTCCCTCGCAGCCCATTGCAAGATGAACTCTCCCAGTCTGCAAGGGGAAATCCACTGTTTCCCACTTTTTTCTCTTTTTTAAAAGAGAAAATCCATGGTTTTTTCCTTAAAAGAGGCAAATCCGCATTTGTCCGTGGGGAATAGGGAAAACCAGATCCCTGATTTGAACAAACTACAGGTGGCAATCTTTACTTTTTTTTTTTTAACAGGATGTCATATATGCTGCAGCACTGTGCTGACTGGGCTGCATGAGGCCTCAGGTTGAGAACCACTGGGTTAGGGACTATTTAGAAAAGCAGAAAAGCTGGACATGTACAAGTCTGTATGGGGCTGGACATGGATGCACCCAAGGGTGCTGAAGGAGTTGGTTGATGTGATTGCAGAGCTGCTGGCCATTATCTTGGTGGTGGTTGGGAGAGGTCCCAGATGATTGGAAAAGGGCAAGTATAGTGCCCATCTTTAAGAAAGGAAAGAAGGAAGATCCAGGGAACTACATACCAGTCAGCCTCACCACAGTCCCTGGAAAAATCATGGAGCAAGTCCTCAAGGAATCAATTTCTAAGCAATTGGAGGAAGTGATTAGGAACAGTCAGCATAGATTCACCAGGGGCAAGTTATACCTGACCAACCTGATTGCCTTCTATGATGAGATGACTGGCTCTGCAGATGTGGGAAGAGCAGTGGACATGCTATTAGCAAGACTCTTGATATGGTTGTCACAAGCCGGCTAGGCACTGTGAGTGTATCAGCCATGAGGCTGCTGGGTTCGGGATCGACAGTTAATAGAAAGGTTAATGCGACAAACAGATAGTACAGTAATAAAGAGCTAATAGTGAATGATAACAATAGATAGACAGAATGACAAAGAGTTCCCACATGGGGTTGGCAAATTATCGGCAGTCCCTCTGTGCCAAGTTGTTCCAGTGAAGTCAGGTGTCCCCGATCAACGCTGTCCAAGGGGTCACCGGGAAGGTACCTTGGTCAGGATCCGGTCCTCACTCACACTGGGAGTCCGGGGTCCAGGCTTGGTACAGCTATGGTCCTTCTGTCCCGTCCTTCTAACTGATCACTTGACATGCTACAGTGATGGTCCTTCTGTTCTGTCCTTCATGCTTGTCACCCGACATATGTGATTCTTTATACCTTATTTTATGCTAATCTGTTGGCTTTAGAGCCACTCACAATCTTGCCCTATAGCTGTTACCCTGTGGGATCAAAAGTGTTAGAAAGTATCATGAAAGCTTACCGCCTGAACTCGGGTTCACCCAATAAGCAAATTACACCACATTACTTTGAGGTTTGAAATTAGCATTACCTGCCCAAGCTCAACCCCTTAGTTTCTTATTCCTGGATTCCTTGGAAAGTGCTAATTATATTAGGTGGTCACATCTTGTTATGGCTTGACCTTTAGCTGATCTAACAGGTTTTTTTAATCTTATAGTTCTGCTTGTTTTGGGGGCCCATGATCAGTGCAAACAGTTAGTTTCAACACTTTGGTTAAATTGTGACAGACAAATTCCACTTGCAGGTTGCAAACTTACAAGCTTTGCATTAGCTAATCTTAACTGCTTAGACAATTGCCTGAATGTCTCCAAGAGCATATATTTATTGTATTGTATTTATAGTAACCCCTCTTGTTCTGACCACATATGTTCTCCCACAACATCCTTGCAAGCAAGCTAAGAAAGTATGGGTTGGATAAAAGTTCTGTAAAGTGAATAGAAAACGGGCTGGATCATCAGACTTGGAGGGTAGTAATCAACAGCTCAGTGTCTAGTTGGCAGCTGGTATCAAGTGGAGTGCCCCAAGGATCGGTTCTAGGGCAGGTTTTGTTCAATATCTTCATCAATTACCTGGAAGATGGGATGGAGTGC